AAGCGATCCTACTGCCTCAGCCTCCCAAGTAGCTGGGACTACAGGCATGCGCCACCATGCCCGGCTAATTTTTTTCTATATATCTTTAGTTGTCCGATTAATTTCTTTCTATTTTTAGTAGAGACAGGGTCTCACTCTTGCTCAAGCTGGTCTCGAACTCTTGAGCTCAAACAATCTGCCCACCTCGGCCTCCCAGAGTGCTAGGATTACAGGCGTGAGCCACCGCGCCCGGCCGACATCCTGGTTTTAATCACAAACTGGGAGTAGAATCCCCTATAATCTCTCTGCTGCAAAGAACAGCTTTAAACGGAATGCCCCAAAATAGAACTAGCCCAGGTAAGATGTGCTCTAGTGCTAACAGGTTGTTATCCAGGGCTCTGGTAACACAGGTCAGTTTGGATACCAGGGAGTCATGGTGCAGATGGCCCTCGACAGGCTCATCACAGGAGGCCACACGCCTCAAACTGGACACCACATGGGAAAGTGGGGAATGTCCCATGGCCAAGGTAGACAAGGGGAGACCAATTCTATCATTTACAGGCTAAAAGGAATTCTTCCTTTTTCCAAAATCAAAAAGGAACTAGCAGTGTTACTTTTTATGCAGTTCTTGAGCAAACTCAAAAGTTGTTTATGAGGAAAGTTCTAGCTGCAACTCACAAGTTCCCACCCTCAGCCCAGGCATTAAATTATGCAGCCATTAAAATATGTGCAAGTCTGACAATACAGAAAAATGCCACAGAATTTTATACTCAGAAGTAAATAAACCAGGTTTACTCCAGTTACCTTTGGGTTGGGGATAAAATGGGCAATTTTTTTCCACCTTTACTTTGTAATATTTTTTCAAATTTCCTATAATCATATATTTTCATAAAAGAAAAATTATTTTTAAGTCTGTCCATGTGTAGGATTAGCCATATTTTCAATTATATTACATATAAGCATTTTGTACTATTAAACACATAAGTATTTTCCCATATTGCCAGTGTTCATGGTTATCAATTTTAACTCCAGACAGTTGTATGTCAACTTCTTGGATATAATTTTTAGCCTTCATATACAGTGTTGCAATGATATGCCATTTCCTGCATTTGAAAGATGGGGATATCTGCTTTGTAAATGCTGTTGGTAAAAAAAAAAAAGAAGAAGAAGAAAAACAAAAAGAGAATGAAAAATGGGGATAAAAGTATCTTAACTCATAGGGTTTTTTGTGAGGATTAACTGAGTTAAGAGGAATCCTAACAAATATTTAGCACAGCACTTGACACGATTACTTAGTAAACCAACAGTAGCTTTCATTAATACCATAGGTGTTTGCTTGTGCTGAATTATTTTTCCAGGATAAATCTTGTGAGTGGAATTACTAGATAATAGGAACTGAATGTCTTTCATTTTTTATATTTCCTATTAAATGGTACTTTATTTGCTTAAAATATAAATGACGTCAGTTTAAGGGGAAACCCAGTATAAATGTGGCATAGAAATACTGTCACTGATTTTTAAATTTCTTTAGATTTTTGGATAGCTTTAGATCCAAGACACAATAAATTTATATATTTTAAAAATAGGCCCCCAAGCTATTTTTAGTACTCCTTAGTGTAAAACCATGCTGTTTTCCAAAAGTCTTGCATCAGTTTTAATCCTATAATTGTGTACCCTTTAAATCACAGCCTTGTCAGCAGTGCTTATCAACCATCTTTTCTGTGCTAGTCTAGTAGTAAAGTACCTCAAGCATGCTTTAAGCTTAAATTCACAATTGTTTTAATTACCCTGTGCAAACATTTCTTATGTGTTTAGAGTCTACTGCTTTATTGGGAAAATCTCTGTTCATATCTTTCATCAGTTTATCTACTAATTTTGCTTATAAAATTGAATGAGCAATGTAATTGATGTGATTCCACTGAACACTGGTTTGCTTTTAAAAATTTGTAACTCATGAATAGTCTGGAATTAGTTTTGGGGAAAGATGTGGCTATGGACATCATCCCCAAAGTGCTATACACTTATATTAGCACCATGATTAAATATTTTTGCTTGCTGATTCATTTTTTATTGTCATTTAATTTTTTAAACTTCAAAAACGATTAATATGAGTTTTTAAAAAATGTTTATCAAGAGTGGGCACACCTTACGTTGAGTTTTCTATTTCTGTGGTTTTGCTGCATGTAGTAGACTTTTTTTTGGAAGTTGAGTACAAACGTAGTTAATGTAGTGGAAAAAGCACTGGATTAAATATGAGAAGACTTGCATTCTAGACCTAAATCTTCCTCAAACTTAATATACTACTCGGGTAACTAACTAGTCCCTTAACATCCCTTTGGTCAATTTTCTCATCTGCTCTCTCTCTGCTTGGCTCCAGTGATCCCCCATCTCAATCAGGATGGAAGGCAATGTCCTTACAAGTACCTACAGGGTCTAGCAGGCATCCTTCCCCTAAATCCCTCACTACTCTCTTCCAACTCACTAGGCTGGAGGCACACTAACCTGGGAAACACCAAACTTGGCTTCAGGGCCTCTGCACTTGCAGGTTCTCTGCCTGGAAGTCCTCTCAATATCCACAATGCCCTCCAATCCACTTTCTTCAAGTCTTCACTCAAATGTCATTTTCTCAGTGAGACTTTCACTAAAATGGCACCATTCTTCCTACCCTTTTCCCCCTACAACCCTTATCACCATCTGACATTCAATTTACTTGTTTACTGTTTCTCTTCTCTACCTGAATGTTAGGTCTTCACTGCCATATCCACAGCATCTAAAAACAGTAACTGGCACATCGTAGACGCTCAGTTAATACATAGTAGGCCAAATCTGTAAAATGAGGCCGTCAAGCTAGATGGATTATCCATCCCTAAGGTGAAGCTGTGTGTTGCTCTCAGGCCCAGACTCCTGGCATTATCGTCGGGAGAAGCCCAGCACCCACCTCTGGGTGCGGACTCACTTTGCAGGGGTCCGCTGCGGCGGTCTCTGGTTCTCCCTCCTCGTGGACCAGGTCGAACAGCTGGAAGCCTGAGTCTCCGGCGGCTTCTGGGTTCCCCGACGTGCACTCGGACTCCAGGCAGCTCGAGGTGGACCCCAAGGATCGGCGACTGGAGACCACCCGGTAGCGGCCCTCCTGCCGGATCTCCCGAGCCGACGCACGGAGATCGCTGCGGATACGCTGCTGGCTGCCCCGGGACGGGTGCAGAGCAGCCCGCAGGAGCGGCTGGATTGGCTCCTCCTGGAGGGAGGAAGGGAAGGGGGGCGGCGTAAGCATGGGTTGGTGAGGGGGTCGGGGATCCAGTCTTATCCCCGCTGTACCCTAAGATTCCCCTCCCCACCGGCTCCATCCTCGCCCAATACCTGGGAGTGCACGGTGGCCACCAACTGGAAGACATTATTCTCTGCCGCTCTCTCCAGACCCTCTGGCGTCTTCTGGGCAGCCGAATCGACCACGCCACTCCGGAGGCGTTTACAAGCGAGCACGAGAGCCTCAGCAGGCTCCGCACTGCGCTTCCGCTTCACTCGGAGGACAGCTGTCCTCCTGGCCTCCATAGCGGCTGTCGCGGAGCACTGTGGGAACGCGCGGGGTGCGACGGGACAGCCGTCAAGCTCCGCCCCCGGCCCTGCTCCCAGCACGCTCTGCGATGCAGCGAGTCCCCGCCCCTGCACGCTGGCTGCGACTAGATGGCTGTGGCGGCTGAGGCAAAGCGAGTGGTTCCGGCAGCAGGTGAGGTGCTGGGTATGCTGGGGAGGTGGGGTCACATTTGGAGTCCTGGGTGCTGCCTGCATCTTGTCCTCAGTCCCAGGGCTCTGGCGGAGGGTCCTGGCTTGGGCGTTCTTGGACGCCAAGGTAGGCGTCTGTTCAGGACTCTAAGGGATCTTTCTAGAGTATGCGTGGGGCGGCTCGGAACGTCCTGGCCCGCAGTGTTCCAGGCCGGCCGCGGCTCTGTAGTGCAGTGGGGTGACTGCTGCTTGCGGGGCTGAGTCTCATTCATTACTCGTGCCTGGCGCCTCCGCTCAGCCACGTAGATCTGACCGCAGTAATATGGGGCTCCAACCACCGCACCCGTAAATGGGCCATGGTTCTCTGGTTCATGGAACTGCTGATTGCTTGCTTTTCCCGCTCACTGTTTTGAGTAACTGGCAACTATTCCATTCCCTACACACTAGCCAAAGTGCCCCTGCAAAAGCATACTCCCAACGTACAAATGCTTCTGCTTAAAAAGAGCAAAATCCAAACACCTTTCCGAAGCCAACAAGGCCCAGTTTGATTTCAGAAGCCCACTTTTAATCTATCATTTCTTCTGCTCAAAGTTCTTTAGTCACTCGGGCTTTGGGCACATTTTGCTTCTGCACCGAGTTCTTGTACGTTCAGGCCTTTTCTTGACATATAAAAACTACTCTTCCCCAACTCTTAACCACTGTCTTGCAGGTCTCAGATGCCACCTTCCTCAGAGTTCTTCCATAACCATGTTTTTTGTTTTCATAATGCCCTGTGTATTTCCTTTTTTATGCGTTTGTCTTTTCATAATGCCATGTGTATTTTTTATATATTAATAGTTCGTAATTGTTTTGTTAATCAGTTAGAGTCAGAGTCTGGCTCTGTCGCCCAGGCTGGAGTGCAGTGGCAGATCATAGCTCACTGCATGCTCGAACTGCTGGGTTCAAGAACCTTCTTAGTAGCTAGGAGTCTGTCATTGTTTATATGACTGTCTTTCTTTGGTTAGAGTCTAAACTGTTGGAGCAGAAGGACTTTCTCTATCTTGTTTGTGGTGGTGGCCCCAGTCCTTAGTGTAGTGCCTGGCAAGTAGAAGTTACTTAATACAATTTTTTTTTTCTTTTCTTGAGACAGGATCTCTCTCTGTTGCCTGGGCTAGAGTGCAGTGGCATCATCATAGCTCACTGCAACCTCAAACTTCTGGGGTCAAGCCTTCCTCCTGCCTCAGCCTGCCTTTTAGATGGGACTACAGGTCCTCACCACGGTGACCACTAATTTTTCTGTTTTTTGTAGAGATGGGATCTCCCTATGTTTCTCAGGCTGGTTTCCAACTCCTGGCCTCAAGCAGTCCTCCCGCCTCGGCCTTGTAAAGTGCTAGGATTATAGGTGTGAACTGGTGGGCCTGGCCACTTAATGAATTTTGAATGAACGAAAGAAACTGATTTATTCAATGTATTCAGTGTATTCAGCGTGCATGATTGTCTAAACCTTTCTAATCTGATGAAGTGCCTTATCCCTCTCACCGTCCTATCCATCTTTTAAGCCTTCCCTGAACATTCAGCCAAATGTGGTGATTTCTTTTTTGTTTGTTTGTTTTTGAGACAAAACAGTCTTGTTTTGTCTCCCTGGCTAGAGTGCTGTGGCGTTGTCATAGCTCACTGCAACCTCAGACTCCTGGGCTTAAGCGATCCTCCTGCCAAGCCTCCCAGGTAGCTGGGACTATAGGCACGTGCCACCACGCCCAGGTGAGTTTTCTGTTTTTTGTAGAGATGGGGCCTCACTCTTGCTCAGGCTGGTCTCTAACTCCTGGCCTCAGTCCTTCCGCCTTGGCCTCCCAGACTGCTTGGATTCTGGATGTGAGCCACCATACCCGGCCCAAACGTGGTCATTTCTATTTCTGCTACAGCATTTGTTGGACACAGTTTTTTAAAGCACATTACCAATTCTGGTAGTTCCAGATACTCTGTCTTTGAAATAAATATTAGTACATGAGATAGAGTGGATTATAGCAATGCTTTTCAAACTGTAAGTTGAAACCCATTGGCAGATTATGAAATCAATTTAGTGGATCATGACCAGCAATTTAAAAAGTGAAAAATGAAGCTGGACACAGAGGTGTCCCCCTGTAGTCCTAGCTACTTGGGAGCCTGAGGCAGGAGGATCACTTGAACCCAGGAGTTTGAGGCTATAGTATGTATGGTGTGATTGCATCTGTGTATACCTACTGCACTCTAGCCTGGAAAGAGCGAGAGCCCTATCTCTAAAAAAAAAAATCAGATCAAAATGAAATAGACCATATCAGAGAGTCTTGCTCATAGGACATCTAAGTATTGTTTTATGAAACTTTTAGTTATAAGTGAGTGTGCAGGTGTGTTGAGTCTCATTGTAAAATATATTTATTACTGGGTTGTCAGAAAGTTTGAAAGCCATGCGGGGGTGGGGAACCTGTGGCCATGGGTCCACATGTGGCCTTCTGGATCTTTGAGTGTATCCTTTTGACCAAATCCAAATTTTGCAGAACAAATCCTTTTAATAAAGGGATTTGTTCTGTGAAGTTTGAATTTGGTCAAGGGGCCACATTTGGGCCCTGCTGGCAGGGGCTCAGCAGGGCCACTGCCTTTGTCCTCAGCGCCAACAACACTGGTGACATGGTTGCCTTATACTCGCTTCCCATAAAATTGCTTTTAAAATTAAATAATGGCCAGGCGTTGTGGCTCACATCAGTAATCCTAGTGCTCTGGGAGACCAAGTGGGAGGATTGCTTGAGCTCAGAATTTGAGACCAGCCTGAGCAAGATCGAGACCCATCTCTACTAAAAATAGAAAACTTAGATGGGCATGGTGGCACACACCTGTAGCCCAGCTACTTGGGAGGCTGAGGCAGGAGGATTGCTTGAGCCCAGGAGTTTGAATCCAGCCTGGACAACATAGTGAGACCCTGTGTTCCCACCACCCAATTGAAGGAGGAAAAAAACCCTGTCGTTAATACCTTTGAATTCAGCTGTGTGGCCCTTTTTGATCCCATCTCTTTCCCTTCCTTTTTGGAAGTAACCACTCTCCTGATTCCCTGCTATGCTTTTTTTTTTTTTTAGTGTAACCCTTGAAGAATGTATTGTTCTGTTTTGCATGATTATAAATTTCGTATAAATAAAGTCAAATTGTATGTGTTCTGTGATTTTCTGTTTTTGCTCATCATATTCCTGGGATTATCCATGTTCGTGTATGGCAGTGGTTATTATCATTTATGTGAAGGTTTTCCTGGTTTATCTTTGTAGTTTTTCTTAAGCTAGATGTTCAGTGTACTGAGGCAGTGTTGGTGGCATTTCTTTAGCACCACCCCATCTCCCCTTGTTCTCCCAGCAGTTTACTGTGCTCTACTTCCACTTCTCACCTGCCTTTACCTGAGTGCTGCACACAGCCTAAACCTGTGAGGCTCATCGACCCTGTTAGAAGCACTGAGGACTGCTGAAGTTTCCAGACATCTTAATGAATGTGTTGTAGTTTCTGATGTTACATGCTGAATATAAAACCAAATAACTCTTGCTGGAAAGATTAAAATACTGATTAACAAATACTTTCCGTGGCTTTGATATTTTTGTTAATTTGGTTTTTTTTCTCCTCATTTTTTTTTTTCTTGTCTCCCCCTTCTCCCCTCCACATTTTTGGGCATGATGATGTTAATAGATTTCTGACTGTCAGACCTGTCCGCAAGAAGTGAACTGGCAAGGCTGCTTTTCTGTCCTAAAACTGGGGAACGGATTGGTACCATGAAGGTCTTCTGCGGGCGGGCCAACCCGACCACGGGGTCCGTGGAGTGGCTGGAGGAGGATGAACACTATGATTACCACCAGGAGATTGCAAGGTAACGAGGGTTGCTTCACGATCAGCTGCAGCTGAAGGGGACCCCTGATCTTAAAGCAGATGCGTTGGAATGCAGTTGAGTGTGGACTAGGCTGTCACCCAGTGCTTACAATCAGGGCAGGTGTTGGTCTCCAGCATATCTGCTCAGCCCAGTGAGTGCGTGTGGGAGTTAGGCAAAGTCATGCCTCTTTGGAGCATCAGAAATCATTTAGCAGCCTGACTAGTGTCTCAGAGGATCTGTTTAGTGGAGCAAAGAGGACCCAAGGCTCAGTAGTAATAAAGTTTACGAAATTTAATCGTTCACTTTCTTCATTGATGTGGTGACAAGTTTATGATGTGGTTAAATTCTCTTGAATGAAAAAAGTGAAAAATGCTTTTGTCCTTGGAAGAAATGTTTAAAAGCACGTGAGTTGTTAATTAGCAATCATTACGTGCATTCAACATGCCAGCATTGTGCCAGGGCCGTGGATACCAAGGTGAAGAAAATCCGCTTCCCATCTTAAAGGACCATGCAGTTTTGTGGAAGAGACAGACATAGAAAATTACAGCACAGAAAGAGAAAGGCCACTGGAAATGGCACAAAAGGTCACAGAAGCAGCAAGAACTTCTGGACTTATGGGTGGTGATGTCTGAGTGATTTCTTGAATCTAAAGGGATGGAAATTGAATTCTGAGCAGCAGGGATTACATGTAAACTTCTGTGGGGGGCGATTTTGGGGAGTGGCTAGTGGTTTTAGTGTGGCTGGAACATGGTGCCAAAGTAGGGCTGTGGCGAGAGAGGCTGCTGGAAAGGTAGGCAGGGTGGTGTGAAGGGCCGAGGCAAAGTGCAGGAAGAGAAGCATGAGTTTAAGTCTAGGCTCTGCGACTTCTCAGCTCTGTTGGCCATACCACTTAGCTTTAGTGTAATAATATATACCTCAATATAATATATATCTCACCATATAATACCTTTATATTGGGGTTGTTTGATGGTTGAATGTAATACAGTGGCAAAGATTAAGAGCACA